TGACATAAATAATTTATGGCAGTTAAACAAATGACGATCAGTTTGTACATTGTACATATTGTAGATTTTCACTAGCACGAACCACACCACAACAATATGTCATTTATGGGTTTAATGGAATACAGGAGTTATTGTATGTTGAGAATAGACGAATGGATGTGGGTGAGGTAGAGGGAAGATGTCATCTGTTAGGCTGGTTGGGGGGGATGTACTGAAGACTGGGCGGAGGGAGACTCAGTGCGGGGGTTCCGTCTCAGGCATATATATCCACCCGAGCTGATCACTGGCCCCCAAAAGAGTCAGATTTAAATTGAACTGATTTGAACATGAGCTTGACGGAGATCGTTAAGATTGTTGCAGATGTAGGAGCGATATGCTTGGGATGACCAGCAGCCTAGGACCTGAATAGTTTGGTCTGAGATGCCTAGTCTGGCTGCTGTGGATGCTGCGCCGATGCGGAAGGAGTGGCTAGAATAGAGTTCTGGAGATACGCCTGAAATGCGTAGGACTTGGTGTAAGTGTTTCTGGAACCAGAATCAATTGGCCATTTTTCCTGTTTCAGTGACAAAGAGTGGGTGTTGAGGTGATGCCTTAGCAGCATACCTGGAGCTGATGTATTTGGTCAGTGGCTCGTATGGGCTTAGGTAGGATTCGAGATAGGGAAAGAAACTCCCAACTGATCTGTTTTGCTCCTTCGGAGCGTGAATATGAGTGAGTCAGCAGTGTGGATGGTTATGTCAGATAGACTGGGGTAATGAGAAGGATTATAGACAGATGAAGTCGGGGCAAATTCAGAGCACCTCAGGAATCCGAAAAAAGCCAGTAGAAACATGGATTCTAGAGTTAGGGCAACCATAGGATATATGTAGCCTGAACGAAGGGAACGAATGCAGAGGCTGAGAAGGTCTGAAGTGAGTGGCAAGCGCCTAGCTGGGACAGCCAGTTCCTGTTTACGCAGGCCTTTTATTAACATAGTAACGTGAGAATGGGAGGTTGAAGGACAATGGAAGCCAGTGACTAGTTTGATGAAGAAGTTGATTCCTGCTAAGTAGGTCTGGATGGTGGAGGACTGTATTTTTTGGATGGAATGAGCATGGGTGATGAAATTGCAGATGGACATGACGTCCAGAGAGGGAAAAGGCAGCTGGTAGGTGGAGTGATATGCCTTGAAGCAATTCCAGCCAGTTAGGTAGGCTGAGAGTGTGCTTGGCGCGAGACTGTTAAGGATGGCTTCTTGTGAAGTGTGAGAGAGGTTTGACAGCTGTCGAGCTAGTTGAATATTGTGGCTGAAAACGGTGGGATAGGTGTTGGGTGGAGATCCAATTCTGGGGCCAAATGTCTGAATTTCTGGAACGAGAAGCGAGACAATGAGTCAGCAATGCTGTTGTGTTGACCGGGAACGTGGGCTGCCTGGAGGATGAACTGGTGTTGAGTTGAGAATAAGGTGAGTCTGCGCAGGAACTGCATGATGGCTAAAGAACAAGATCGACCTTTGTTCAGGATTTCTACAACTGCGGTGTTATCAGAATGGATAAGTATGGACTTCCTAGACCATTCATGTCCCCAAAGAATGGCAGCTATTATGATGGGATACAGCTCGTGAAGCGCAGAGTAAGGAGAGCGGGACTCTGAGTCGAGGGATTCGAACTTTGGGGACCAAGCGGAGACGAACCATCTCCCTCCATAGCAGCCATCAAAACCTGTGGAGGGAGCCGGGTCTGTGAAAAGTTGAATGTCCTCAGGCTGGGTGATGAAGTCGTCGTAGAAGAAGGAAATGCCATTCCAAGAAGATAGGAAATGTAGCCACATACGCATTTCCATTTTGCAGGCATCGTCTAGAATGACCCTTTCGTGGAGAGAGGGAATGGCAACAGCCTTAGACAAAAGGATGGACAAGAAGGATTTAGCTTGAGGGATTATGCGGATGGCATAATTGAGATGGCCAAGGAGGGCTACCAGCTGGCGTTTGGTGCATCTGTCTGCTAGGAGGTAGTTTAACAGAAGCAGAGAGATGCGCTGTATTTTCTCCAAGGGCACGGATGCTTGGAAGGAAATTGAGTCCAGGGTGATGCCTAGGAACTCAATGGAAGTGCCAGGTCCTGATGTTTTCTCCTCGGAAAGTGGGACGCCGAGTTCAGAGAAAGCATTAGTGAGCGTATTGAGCCCGTGGCGAGGAGGTGAGGATGGTGGAGTGACGACGAGAAAATCGTGGAAAATGTAAGGGAGCCTGTGGTTGTTTGTAAGGATCCAACATAGAGCTTTCTGAAAGAGAATTGAAGATCTTAGGACTGCTTTTGCAGCCAAAGGTAAGGCACACAGAAAAATAATATGCCCCCTTCCAGCAAACGCCAAAAAACCCCCAGAAGTCAGGATGAATGGGCAAAACTCTGAATGTGCTGGTGATGTCTGCTTTAGAAAGCCAAGCTCCACATCCTGCTAGCTGAATGAGGGTGATGGCATGGTCGATGGTTGCGTATTGCATGGAGAAATCCGGACTGGGAATGACACTGTTGATGCTTGGAATGTGTGAGCCGTGTGGGGAAGACAGGTCCATAATTAGCCTCTTTTGTCCAGAGTATTTGCGAGTGGCAACACCTATTGGGCTGATGCGGAACAGTGGAAAAGGAGGAATATCGAATGGGCCTATCATGAATCCTTCTTTGACCTCTTTAGCCAACAGGGTGTCAACAGTGTGAGGTTCTGCAAGAGCAGACTGGAGGTTGTGACAGACGTGGGAAATGTCAGGGAGAACTGCCATACCGGGATGAAAACCATGTGTGAAGCCATCTATGAGAAAATGAACAAGCTGTCTATCAGGATGGTTTTGTACAGCAGTGGCAAGGACATTTACCTGAACGGGGGGTGCTGAGGTGCTGTACAAGTTGGTCTGCAGCTGTGGTTGGATTGCGGGGGCAGGTGCTCCTGGCATGCACACCGCCGCAGAAGGAACAGACATGCAGGAGGCGGAAGTTGGAAGTGAAGGAGGAGGCTGGAGATCACCGAGTTGGTTAGCCTGTGGTGGGACCCCTTGAGTTGCTGACTGAGGCTCTCCTGCTGCGTTGGCTCTTGCAGAAAAAAAGAGCAGAAGCCATGTTTCTGGGAACGGCTGAAGGAAGGGTAGGGGAAGGGATGATGGGATGAAAGGATGTATGTGCACAGGGATTTTGTGAAGCCTGTGAAGACAGGGATGAAAAGAAAGCTGAAATCATCTCAGAGAATTCAGGAACAGAGGGAGCAGGCACAGGGGGACATACAACCTGGCCCCCACCAGAGGGGGCTGATGATGCAGGCTGTGGCTGAGGCAGCGACGGCCCTGTGACGTCATGCCTAACGACACCAGCAGTTGGTGGCACGGGTGAGGAAGCTGGAAGAGCGCGAGGTATGGAGTCTGTTGCTGCATTGATAGAGGCTTAATACAGCCGAAAAAGTGTGGCTTTGTTGGCGTTGCGGTGAAATGGGATGCCCTCACTCCGCAGGAAACGTTGGAGGCGAGTGGCGGTCCAGTCTCTGATATTGAGCTCAGTTTGAGGACGCAGAGACTGCCGACTTGCAGATGAGGGCAAGAGCCGGGAGCTGGAAGCCTAGGCGATGGGGTCAGCTGCCGATGAGGAGAGGGTTGGAGCTGGCTCATACGCCCATGCCCGCGGTGTCTGGTCCTCGCTGAAGGAGGAGAGGAGGCCTGAGATCTGCGGACCCCTGTGATCTGAGTCGGAGTCAGAGAGATCTCGTTGGCAGAGCTTGAATGGAGACGCCGGGACTGAGGTACGCTGACCACTGTATGCAAGTGACTACACCGGTGTGTTTGGCTGCGGTCTGGTCGCTGCTGCGAGTCTGTGGAACAGAACGTCGAACGGATCACTGCCTGAATCGGTCGGGTAGATCTGCAGTACCGGATCCATGGTAGGTAACGTTAGACAATCTTTACGTTTTGTCTTTGTTTGAATGGAAGTTTTCTCTATGAAGCGTTTAAGCAAGATGCGCGGTCTGTCTGAGCTCGAGAAATCTTAAGACAAACAGGGTAGGATGGGTTGACCCGGCATAAGTAGGCTTGGCAGGTGATTAGAGGTGTGGTTGAGGCGTGGTTCTGCTCCCGAACCTAAGTTAACAGGTTAACTACATACATAAATACATAAATTGCAGCTACATTTTAGTAGAATGGTTTCAGTAGAGATTACATCTAAGACATCTGAATGTACTAGTTATTTCTATTCATTTGTTTTTGTATAATACAGGAATCTGTCATCTCAATCTGCTGTGGTAAAATTGATGAATTCACGGGTTAAAACTTTTGTTGTTTAACGGGAAATGTGTTAGGAGCAGAATTTTTAATAACTTTGGTATTATTACCTAACACAAGCTATATTAGTCTGATCATAGATAAGCCTGCTTAGATAAAAAAAGGAGTTATGCTTTACACCACTGCATATAACTGGTGAGAGCTGCTGTTGGTGTTTCCACGTTATGTAGTAACTGACTATATTGTTAGAAACCTTTTGTACTCTGCAGCAGATGTTTTTAACTTCATTCAGTCAGAGGACAGACATACAGTTGTTACCATAATGTCATCATGTTACAACTGAAATATAAGACAGCTACAAAGTAAAAACTTCCCACTGTGAAATGTCTTGCTCCAATCTTTGTTTCAAAGGTGCTTCGGAGTCTATTGGCTCGTGTTTCTTCACTCAAATTGATGAGGGAGAATGGCCGCCATTGTTAGCTTAGCCTCAGTTGTTGTTTTGCAGCAGCCTACGGAGGTGAAGTCAGATAAGGTAAGGGGCGTGATGTTTATGATACAAGCTCTAAACATTGCACCAGCTACAGCAGACTGAGTGAGCTGATCAATCAGAGCAGATTGGACAAGACAAAAAATGTGTGTTTTGAACATTAAAGCACATATATCTATTCCACTAGACCCCAATATTACATATTTAAATCAATATGACCCTGAAAAAAGCATAATAGGTCTCCTTTAAGATGGGTTTCCTCCTGTCCTCTCAAAGGGAAATGCAACCACCAGTGCCCAGGGAGCCCCCCCTGTCCTCCACCCTGTCCCCCACTTCAGAGGACTCAGGCCTGGATGACTTGTCATACCGCAGCCCACTGGAGGAGCCAGAGAGCGCTGTGGAGAGAGAGATCCGACTGACTCTGGAGAGAGAGGAACGGCACCGCAGGGAGAGGGGGGGGATTTCACAGGGCCTCACTATACCCAGGTAACAACAAATAAAAAGGATGGAAAGGATAGTGTTTTTCTGTAGCAGTCAAATGTTTCACTATGTTCACCTGCTAGTCAATCATTTTGTCTGTCTGCTGTTTGCTCCTGGGCAGCTAATGTCAAAAAATATTAGTACGTTTTTAGGAGAGGGATTTTAAATTAAATAATGGATTTACAAGGAGCAAGAGCAGAAAAGCTGATTCGGGAAAAATATGATTCTAGTTCCTGTCAGTATGTGTTTCAGCATTCTGGATAAACTGCAGAGTCTTTAAAGTCTTACTTAGGCAGTCTGATAATAAGAATTTACAATAATCTAGCCTAGATGTAACAAATGCAGGGCAAATTTCTTTTTTTTTCTTGCATTTTTTTGAGATGGGATGTGCCTGAATGTCAGTGCTTGAGGTTTTTATACGTGGGCATTATATTATTATTATGGCATTTTCTGGATCCTGTTAAGGACTTATCGTGTTCAAAGATAACTCCAAGATTCTTTACATTGGTTCTTGAGGCCAGGGCAATTCCATTTAAAATAGCTACTACTTAACTTTAGATAATTTTGTTTTGGAGGTGTATGGGGCTAAGTACAATATCTTCAGATTTGTCTGTGGTTAACTTGGTTGTGAGCTTGGTGGTTAGCTTGAAGCTTAGCTAACTGATTGGTTTCACACAGTTTGATATGTTATAATTGTGTGTCATCTGCATAATATTAAAGTTTATGGAGTGTTTCCTAATAATACTGCTTAAAGGAAGCATATATTGTAGTATTAGGTGACATGCCGAGTAAGGAACCTTGTGGAGTTATTGTGTTGCACGGGGAGCGTGAACTAAGAAGGCACTGAAACGTCCCTAAGTGTCTGCCATACGTTCCTGTGTTAAAGGAATACTCAGACGATTTGGGAGTTATGCCCTTTCTCTATCATTTTGATATTGAGACAACATGATCAATATCTTTTTTGTGTCTGTACGTCCAGTGGCTGGGTCTCAGCGGTTAGCATTGCGCTTATTGGGGGTCAGTACCCTACTCAGTAAAAGTGAACAAATAAACGTTACAGAAACCCTGAAGCTGGCATTTCTGCACATGCATTTAAAACAAGCATGTTTAAACATTAATTCAAAAAATGAGAGTCCTTTTTAGTCATTTTAGAAGAAGTTTGATACATGGAAGTATAGTGTGTTTACGTCCTGTGCGGAGGGATACACCGGTGAGCAACAGCTGCAGCTGGCTCTGGGACAGGTACGCTAGGTCACTAAAACCAAACAAAGACGACACGGACGATATTACTCACTCAACTGAACTTTTCCAGTTTATGTTAGGAACATGAAAAAAAGTTTCAGTCACGCCAGGATTAGTGATTGCTGCAAAGTTTTCACTCCTTGCACTCTCTGTGGCGGTTTTCCTCCTGATGATATATCTCTAGCCTCCCCAGCGATGGTAGCACCTAATCCCATTCTGTGCAGCAAAATGATTCCACCTCCGTAGGCATAGGTTGGCAAGCCCCGCAGCTACACCACCAATCCTCCCCTGACCTCCGTCTCCCCTTGGCCCCTTGCTGTTCCGCTGCCTCGGAGGATTCAGCCTCTCTTCTCACCCGCTTAGCATCCAACACATGCAGTTCCTCATCTGTATACTCTGGCTCAAACAGGTATGGCTCTGCAGCTACTATAGTCCGGAGAGATATCGCTAGGCTAAATAAACAACTGAGTTTTGTTTACAGGCTACGTCTGTGCCTGTGCCCGCTCACCGGTGTATCCCTCCGCGGATCACAGCACAGGACATACTGACCCCCTATAAGCGCAATGCTAACCGCTGAGACCCAGCCACTGGACGTACAGACACAATAAAGATATCGATCATGTTGTCTCAATATGAAAATGATAGAGAAAGGGCATAACTCCCAAATCGTCTGAGTGTTCTTTGAAGCCTCCAGATATTACTCGACAATAGACAAGAGTAACAAGACATATATGAGGTCCAAGTACAGAGCCTTGTGGAACTCCATGACTAATGTTGGCTTGCATGGAATCATTGTCAACAAGTACAAACTGAGATCAGTCTAATAAATTGGACTTAAACCAAATGTTCCAATCTCTATGATAGGATGTGGTGTCGAATGCAGGAAGGAAGGAACCATTAGTGCAGCGTTAAAAATATGGAATATTGCATTGAATATCCATTAATGAAATTGCAGTATCAGAAGTCAAAAAGCTCCTTTCCACTGTGTGACCTTCTACTGGGAAACAGATAAACTGAACCAAAATGAAACTTGTTGAAACTGATTGTTGTTTTTTTATTGTTCTGTGTTCAGACCCTCTAAGTTGCAAACAGGACGATCTCCACCCAGACCTCCAGCCTGCCGCACCCCTACCTTGTCCATTTCCCCATCCCCTTCCTGCTCCTCCTCCCTTCCCCGATCTGTCTACCATGAAATGACAGCCAATAATGTCATTATCTTGGAGCCCGACTGCTCCAGCTCTGCCTCCAGGAACCGCTTACTCTCCTCTGCAATTGGGGGCCTCTCCGATTGGCCAACAAGCCAGGATGCAGTTCCTTCCGCCAATGTCATTGTAGTGGAAACCTCCAATCTCATCATTCGCAGTGCTTCAGAGTTCTGCCTAAGCTCCGCCCCTGTATCCATGGAAATGCAGGAGAGCACTTTTTCATCCAATCCGTTCTTTAAGCTACGTTCCCTCAGCAGCCAATCGCTGGTGGAGCAAGAGATCCGCTTGGTGAGACAGAGGGAGGAGGAGTGGAGGAAGCAGAGGGAGGAGATGTGGAGGAGGAGGAGGGAGGAGGAGTGGAAAAGAGGGAGAGAGAGGTATGATACTGTGCTGGTGTCTCCAGGCCTGAACGATAGCATCAGCTACAACGGTACGTAAAGTCATGGCCACCAATTTAAATTTCAGGAACACTCATGGGTTCATGACCAGTTGAACATCCTAGAAACATCACTGTTGTGTCGTAGTTCAGCTAAAATGATTAATTGTAAAACTTGTTAAAAGGGGTCTTTGAGTTTTTAATCAACAGGGCATCACTCAAACTGAACCAACTAAACAGCTGCTTCTATTTGTGATTTAGTCAAAGCCATATTGTCATTAGTCAAAGCCTTATTGAGTAAATTTAGTGTTGGGGATTCAAAATACTGTCAGTAATAATTAAATGGTTTGCAGATGATGGTGTGATTTCACCATTCTTATCCATTATTGAGTAGAGCACTTGTCAATCAATACTGGATTAAGAGTGTGGGATAAGAAACACATTCTTAAAAATCTGGTTTCTGTCTGGGATAAAAATCAGATTAAATTATAATGATCACTGCTTTGATTCAATTCTCTTTGTTCCATTTGTTTTTATTCCAGTGCCAGAGGTCCCAGATAGATGTGTCTCCTCCCCATCATCCCCCTCCAGGACCCGCAAAATGGAACGATCCAGTGTGTCTTGTGACCACAAGGTGGGCTGACACACACATGTATACACACCTATATACACACAAACTCTATCTACAGCAGGGATGCACCAATTTATTGTCTGAACATCGGTATTGGCCGATATTCTCAATCAGCCTATCATCAAATAAGACAACATGAAAGTGACCGATGTTTTTCTGTTGTGTCACATCAGTTTTGCCCAGGCTAAAAAGTAGGGCTTGATGATTAATGGCCACAGTCTTAAAGGTCATATGTACAGGTGTTTCATCAAAACGAGTATTTGAAAAAAAATAAAATAAAATAAAATATATCCATAGAACATCTAGAAAGGTGTATAATTAAAGTCTATATTTTCCTGAGAAAAATAATTGCAGTAGAGAAATAATTGTTTTAGAAATTTTGACGGGTCCAAAATATGTCAATATTTTGATTTGGGTATGTTGGTTACGTGCGGGGGGGGGGGGGGCTCAGGGTTGCCAGATTGTGATAGCTGCAGAGGTATGGCGTTGTCCCAGTGCTATCCATCGCAGATTATAGCCGACCAACGGAGAAGCAAAACCAGAATCATCTGCTGAATATATCTAATATCTAGTAAAGCCGAACTAGTAATTACACTACACCTAGATGAAATATGTTAAGAAAAAGTAAGGATGATGGTTAATTTTAGATATTTTTAGGAAGTTCTCTGGAAACAGTGTTTTTGGGACTGTGATTGTTCCGGTTGTAAATTTGATAAATAGTGTCGTAAAAAAAGTAAATCTCCTGAATATATGAAATATCTAGTACAGCCCAACTATCATGTTATTATTATTATTATTATTATTATTATTGGTGGGAAATTATAACAGAGGAAAATATTTGCAGTTTTAATATCAAGAACACTTTCGTGTTTTTGTGTGTATACAGGACATTGTTGAATCAGGGAATCAGTGTGTCCACCACGACAAAGGATCCTAATTGACTAATTACGTTAGCATTAGTGACGAGTAGAGCTAAAAATGCTTTACGGAGATTGTTACAGTGTGTTACAGGGCGCACAAGAGAGGATTCATGATTTATTATTATTATTTATTAATTACTATACCACAAAAAAACTCTTCACTTGACATTGCTGTCTTCAGTGTCTGTCGTTTACGAAGTGTCTGTTGTTTACGAACCTGGCAACCTGTATAATTGAAGAGTGGAGCGAGAGCGGGCGAGTGTGAGTGCGACACCTACTGACCGGGAAGTATGAATCCTATATCTATCACCACAATTAATGAGCAGGTACAAGAACAATACAATGACTGTTTGGAAAATCGCCTCTGTGATCTCATTGTTGTGTGTTGTGATGGCTAGTAGCACCTGGCATCCTGTCCTCCCTGGGACAATAGAAAACATGTTTGTGACAAACAGATCTTCCCGTTTGGGATGAAAAGATGCAGTAAACTTACTACTGTCACATCAGAGGACGCACCCTATTGTTTCTCCGACAATGCTACATTGTGAACAATGAATATGTGCCAATATTGGCAGCAGTAGTGCTACTTAAAGTTAGCTTTAAGCAGACGGTGAACAAAACTAACAGCACATGGAGGTTGCATTGTGTTACATTATGATAAGTTCAAGCTCTATTCAGTAAAAATTACTATTAGGTGAAGGTGAATTCAAATGTTCTCATAATGTCTTCAGTGTAATCTTGTAAAATGTAGTTTTTGACTAGAAATTTTAAAGCAACACAGTGGAGTTTTTGAGCCCTCAAAATATATATTCAAGATCCTTGTGATGGTTCATCAACTCACAATAGGTTGGATGACACCTCCGTCATTGCTTGAGAGCATCTGTTCCACTTGCACTGGCACTATGCAGTTTCGGGGTTCAGGTAGGAACCTGGACTCCAAAAGGACTACAAAATTTGTCTGCTTTGCTGCATACGTCATATCCCCCTCCTCTCTTTAGAGTAGCGTAGCCAAACCAAGGTGAACGAAGTTAGACGTGGTTGTCATGGCTGACAAAGAAAAGGAAGAAGGTGAAGGTGTTGTTGGAGGGAAAAAGAAAAGAAAACAGGAGAGTGATAAAACAAGAGCTCAAACAAGGATTAATTTTGGCCCGGCTTTCACACGCTGGCGAGAGCTGAAAGAGGAGGAGGGATGCTTGACCGATGGTGACCTGGCGCTGTTACTGCTGTTAACTTCTACTTAGGAGACACACTGTCTGCAGGTCGGCTGCCTCAGGTACATTTTAAGATAAAGTGTTAGCCTACATAAAGACAGCTTTCATTTTACTTTGTCTTTAACAGTTTGCTGTTAGCACCGCGAGCGCGATGTGCTTGTGTGGACCGCGATCGTAAATCATAATAGCGGTGAATGAGAGACTGCGGACAGAGCAGATTGAAATATGGCTTCCTACATGCTGATCACATGTATTGATAAAGTATTGGCTTGGCTGGCAGAGGTTTTATTGCACTTACTTACAGTAACAAGCATAGTTGTTGTCAACTAGAGTAATCTTGACATTATATTCCCTTCATCTGCACTGCAGCCTCCCTGCTGTTGTCTGACTTCACTCCGTTGTGTTTGTGTGTGTGTGTGTGTGTGTGCGCTGTGAGGAGGAGGTCAGCCCTGACATGGGAGCAACTAATTTCGAAGTTTCGAAAATGAATAAATAAATAAAGCAATCGGCCTAATCATGTATGTACAAAATGCTATAAGGCTACTTTACCTGTTCTGAAGACATGATGACACGGCTAGCTTCAGGAAGTTCATCGGTATCATTGGCTTGTCAACAAATGCACGCACAGAAAGATTTTTGCGACAGTTGTAACAGACAATAAAGTTTTTTGTGTGTAGGGGGACCCCGTGAGGTAAAAAGCGCAATCCTCCATTGTGTTGCTTTATTAAATACCGTTGTTTCAAATAGAAATGTGTTGATGTTTTCACAGTAATAAAAAATAGATATTAGAGAGGGTATTGTGATATATATATACAGTAAATGGCTTTTGAAGCAGTTTTTAAAGATGTATTTCATGTGAATATTTGTGTTATATTAAGGGTTGTTTCATAAATGTGTATGAATTTGTGCTCATGTACAGGTAATGTAATGAAGGGCTTAACTACTTTAAGGCAGTTTCTTTGCATCCCTGGCACAAAAGGAGGAATAAATAACAACAAAAACAAAAAATAACAATATAAAAGCATCTGTATTGGCTCCCAGCCAAATTGTTATTTTAAACATTGGTATCAGTATCATCCCTGAATTTCGAAATTGGTGCATCCCTAATCTAGTCAGTAGAACTTTATTTTGATGTGAAGTAACTGGTAGCTTAGCTAACTACATTTTATAAGTAGCTTGCCCAACACTGATTATCATTCATTAATCAATGTACATACGGTACACCACTGAAAAACATTTAACTTTACAATCATTTTGTTACCTTACAGTAACATTCACTATAAAATGTCATGTCCTTCCTGATACAAACATGTATATAATGATTTTATGATGATTATAATGATTGTATCCTGTTAGACAGCAGCTAACTGTATTTCACTGTGTTGAATTTCTTCATGTATCAGTGCATGGCATGAAAATCATATTCAAATTTTCAAATTTGTTCTTTTGTACTTTCTGTGTTGGATAATTGATTTCTTCCTTTACTCATTCGTTCATTTGTTACCTTTAATAATTGTGAACTTCCTGATTTGTTAATCAGTTGGATTGATACATTTTTTAATCCAGTAGTTCACAATTTAGCAACTATATTATTTGTCTCATTTTTTCATTAACCCTTCACTCTTGCATTCATTCATCTAATATTTTCTCCAACCATCCCATCCTCTGTTTCTCTTTTTCCCCATTTATCAATCATCCATCCATCCATCCATCCATCCATCTAACCATATTCATTTATCCACCCATCTTGGCTCCAGTGGTTCAGCTGAGTCTTCCCCCTCCCTCCAGTTCCCCCCTTGTCTCTCTTCGGTATCAAGACGACCAAACGCCATGGCGCAGCGATGGGAGGCCTCCCTATTAGCCAATCAGAAGAAGGAGTGAGCAACAACAGTGCTCAACTGTCAGCCATTTAAAAGCCAAAATGAAATCTTACACCTCTATTCCTTCGTCCTCCTGTCCAGAAAACTCTTACAGTCCTGTCTGTCTGCAGCTGATGTCTGATGTTTGTCACCGCTGTGGGTTTGAAACCAGTGGGTCACAAATGTGTTGTCTGAAGGATGTCCCATGAGAGAAGGACTGTTTCTTTCAGTCAGCTTGGTTTCAAAGACTAAGGTAATTCACCTAGTTTGACTTTCTACTATGAAAATGTTAAAAAGTTTCATAGTCAGAGTGGTCTTTTGTATGACGTCTGAAACAGTATGACTGTATGAAACAATGGAACTGCCAGCCATGTCACAGTTTAGACATTTTTTATGTACTGTATATTATAACGTTTGTGGACTTGTAAGGCACAGGAGGCTTGTCATAATAATGACTAAATACAAAGTTACAATTTAATAATACCACTGTTTTTGACATTTGACCCAGATTTTATGAAAACCTTTGAAGCACATGTCAGAATCTGCGGTATTCTCCTTTAATATTTAGTATTAACAGCACTTTGATATCTAGATATGTATGAATTATGGTACTGGTACAGCTGCTGATATTTATTGATTTTTATGACTGACTGACTGTAATGCAATGATTTTCAAACTTTTTCTGGGCAGTCACATTTTAATTTCACATATTAATTCAGTCTATTTATTTTAAAATGACAGACGACATACAGCATTTTTTTATATTGTAGCTATGCATAGCAAAGATTTGAGACGGTAGCCTACATGCAAAAAAAAAAAAAAATATATATATATACCATGTTGTGTTCTTTTCAAATGACACTATGTGTATTTTACCAACCCAGACTTTGAAAATCACTGCAATAGTGAAATGTTATAATAAGCCATATAGATCAAAAGAGTTTTGATGTTCCAGGTTTCCATGTTGGCCAAAGACTGCTGGCTGCTAACTGGATAGTACCATAGAGTGCCCCAGGAATAAGTTCTAAAATCTGGAAATGAGTCAGCATTTTAGCACTGGCGGTTCCCTCGTCTCAAAGTCAAAATTATGTCAAAATAATGCATTAATTTTGATAAATTAATCAAAGAAAAATTAACGCATCAAAAAAACCCACTGATTGATCACATTCCATGGTGCCCTTTGACCCGGTGCGTCATTGAAGGCCACAGGGGCTTTGTCATTTGATGGAGGCAGATAAGACAAAGCTGCTTGGCCCCATAAATGGAACATATACATTTGATAAACGCCCAAATGGAACTGTTGATAGGAGCACGGTTCTCAGCAGTTTCTGCAGTAAGTAATTTTTGTACCATCAGAGTACTTCCAGCCTGAAATATCACCTCAACACAAAGCATATAGCAATGAACCTGCGGAGTCCTGAGCTAGCACAGCCTCTATTGCTAGCGCTATTAGCCAACCGCGTAAAGCCACAATCAACCAGGTGTTCAGACGCAAACTGAGTTAAGTCTATACTGTGATCGACTAACTAACTCCCTTGCAAAATGGATTGAAAAGGACTCTAGACCATTTTCGGTGGTAAAGGACAGGAGGACCATTGTGTCCAAAATCCAGTAGCTTTACTACGACCGACTGCCAAAATTCATTTGAATTGAAATTTTTTGTAAATGATTTTTGATTAATAATCACAGAGCATGTAATTAATCAGATACATTTTTTAATTGCTTGACAACCCTAATTTCAACATTAAAAAGTTAGTGTCCAGGCTGCTTTAAGTTGACTGAATTTGAGAAGACAAGTTGAGGTACTTTTGTAATGATTCAACGTGTCGTCCCAAATTCAGTCAACTTAGAAATTAAAGGCAGCTCCCACACTAACTTTTTGAAATTAAATACAAATAGTTTTATTTTACAGTGCAGAAAATGTCATTGCTAGAGCACTCTATTTGGGTCACAGTGACACCAACTAGCTTTTGCCTCTGCTTTGGAGGACATTGCTTACCGCGATAGTGTTCAGGAGTGGGGTGCAGTTTTGTGGTCTTCTGATTAACTCAGTGGGACAATGTAAACAGCAGTCTTTTTTGAGGACATCGTCTTCAACTTGCAAACCATGCTAGCTTTCTTTACTTTTAGCTTTCTTTCGACGTCAACATGTAATGCACAGCGTGCAACACAGGGCATGGACATTTTTGACTATAGCTGTTGATGTTCTACACAAAACCAACAACTGTGCAAGTTGAGCCTGAGCTCATTTTTAAAACAGTATAAATGATGTAATATTAGTTTTGGTTCGCTCTGTTTGCCCATTGACTTCTGAAGAAATGTGAGGCAGAAAGGGTAAAATAACAGAGCTATTTGAACAAAAGAAACTTCTAATATGGATGCCAGAGAGACCTGACACACACAAGCACACTCCACATGGCAGTGCTTGCATTGCTAGCTAGATTTCAGCTAATGTCTTTAGAACTGTTATATAGGTCATTGGCAGTTTGGAGCAAACAGATAAACAGACTGTAAGAATGCTCCAGCTGTCAGATGCATGTGGATAACTCAATATTCACATTCAGTCTGAACACACCTTTGAAATAGACCTCTACAACCTGGTCAAACTGTCTGTCTGTGGCTCTGCTTTTTTTTAGCAAAAGAACTTCTGAAAGAACTAGATATTCTATTCCTTGAGTCTAGTGAAGAGTTTTACATATTTTTATGTCCTGTCTTGATCCCTAAAAATAGATTTATTGTATTGTATTTTTGCTGCATATATTTATGAATTGAGCAATGCTTTTAAATCCTTAAAGCTTTTATTTGTAAAGGGTTTATATTGTGTCAGAATGACTGACTATGAAGTGGAAGTCTGCAATGTTTTTTAGGAGATGACTTCTGTGTGTGCATGTGTGTTTTATAGTTATCAGCTAGTCAGAGCTTCCTTTAGTTTGACTTATAGCTCCAAAACAAGCTCACTCACTAGTTTCTCCATTTAACTCAACCTGAATCCGCTGTCAAATAAAGGTGCATTCAAGTCAACTCAGAAATGGAAGACTTTAACTGCCAGGGTGAAATAATACCAGGTGAGTGGAATGCTAGTCAGTTTAGCATCATTATATTTTTTGGTTGTGCTTTAGGCTTTGATGTGTTTACACTACTGTGTTACAGTATAAATATACAACAAAGGATCAAACCACCTTGGTAGCTGATTAACTACATTTGAGCTGTGAGTCACTGTGCAACCTGAAACTGTTTTGATACATATGATGTAGCTTGTATCTATATCTTCTGCACTTAATTTGGAGGTTCAACTCTATCTTAGTATAATACTACAGTTCATATGTACATTAAAATAGTTGTTGGTTGCTGTTTTCCTCCTCTTCATACTGGCTGTGTATTTTGTCTGACATATTCATAAATAAGTGTTTGGCCAATGACATCCATGTCCTTTAAATGATGTTGTTAGATCAAGGGTGAAGCAATATCATGAGTTTGCCATTGTTTCTCAAACTACCTTTTCCGAAGTTTATTTAGTGATTTAGTCTGTCCAGTACAACAAAAGAGAACGTAGTGGCAGATTTTTCTATAGGCAACACAGGTGGCTGCCTAGGGCACCACCCAGAGGGGGGAACTGATTAGAATTTGGTGGTCAAAGGTCAATGTGACCTCACAGAAAATGTTTTTGGCCATAATTCAGGAATTCATAAGCTCATTATTACAGTATTTTACAAAAATGTCTAACTGGATAAAATGATGAAGTGCTGGAATTTTATATCCAAAAGGTCATCATAATGTTCTGCAAAAATACTTTTCTGGCATTATTCAATGTCATATCTCAGGAATAGAAGGGGAGACATTTGGTCAGATACTGAATTGGTGACACTAATCTTGGGTGCCCACCTTACCCAGGATACCAAATGTGCTGGGTCAAGCACTGAGAGAATGACATATACAGCAAAGATTAAGGAAAAAAAAAACAAAAAAAACACTCGGTCACTACTTGAGATTGGACCACTGCTGACCAGATGCATAAAAGAAAACAACTTGAACTTGGGTTTATTTTGTTCCTGTGTGAATTGTCTGCACTCTGGGACTCTGTCCCCCCACGCCAATGGAATTTTCTTCTAGACTGTAACTCTAGAAGATTTCCACTTGATTCGGCTTACTTAAATTGCAGAGACCCCATAATAGCTGCAGTTTTGCCCAGAATTAGTCTGGGAATGTTTGTTGAGCATCTGTTCTATTGTGTTCACGCTAGGGGGAGATCCATTTAGGGCAAGCATGGAGAGGAGGATTGATTCCAGTAAACAGTAACTGTTTCAGTACACCTATAGCATGTGGGTGTTACATTAAGGTAGACTTGAAAAAATCTGAACATATTCTTTAAGAGCAAAAATCTTGGAGCTGTGATGTCATGAGATTCTGAGATGTATTGAATGCACAATAATAACTGCTATGTCTGAAGCAGGGCAGATTTTAAGCTGAGCATGTCATGATGTTCCTGTGTTAGATATTCTGTATGATAGCACATATTACACACTACATGCACTCAGTGTTTGCCCTGTGATTTGGGCTGTTATATTCACATCCATACCTGATTCAGCTCCTGTTTTAGCCTCAGCGTAGTCAGCTTTACTATATAAGATACTTTATTACTCCACAACTCTACTTTAAGTTTTTAGAAGACAGTACATTTAGTCATGAAGTTCTTTAACATTTCTGGATTTCTCTTGTCAGGTGTGGTAGAGTTCATGAATACAAAGGGTGACACTACATGCTACTTGCTAGAATATTCTGTATGGTCTCATAGAAACAGCTGTCCACACTATTACAGCTTTTCCTCACTAGCCTAACATAATTTATTCTGGCTCTGTTTATTACTTAGTTTATTTGCCTTGAGTTTTAGTCTATTATTGCCAAATTAAAGCTCTGGTGATGACATCTTCAATAAACTCTTGAAACCTATTGTGTGTGTGTGTGTGTGTGTATTGTATTGTATGTAAAAAAAAACAAAAAAAAAGGGGCAAACAAAGTTAAGGCATGAAGTCAGAGGTTCTGATATCATTAAATGACTTGAGTTTTATAACTATATCAGTTGGGGCAACCTCTAGCTCTCCAGGTGGAGTGTGCACCCCATATAGGCTAAGGCCTTTGCAGCAGCCTGGGTTCGATTCTGACCTGTGGCCCTTTGCTACTTATCATCCCCCCTCTCTCTCTCTCTTCCACATTTCCTGTCTATCTTAAGCTGTACTATCAATAAATGAAAAAGAACAAATGACAAATCATTTCTCTTACAAGTCAATAGCAATGATTCTCAGGCTGCAAAGTTTCATGGCTGGAGTCCTCCATGTCAATGACAAATGTGACAACGGGGTTAAAAGTTCAACTAGTCGGGGCGTCGGTGGTTTGGTGGTAGAGCAGGCACCCCATGTACAAGGCTGTTGCCGCAGCGGCCCGGGTTCGGGTCCGGCCTGTGGCCCTTTGCTGCATGTCACTCCCTCTCTCTCTCCCCCTTTCACACTTGTCTGTCCTATACATTAAAGGCTTAAAAATGCCCCAAAATATATTTAAAAAAAAAAAAAAGTTCAACTAGTGTCATTGATTGTCAAAAGTAAAAGGAATTGCAGCTTGATAATAATGATTTAGATGTAAAAATATTATACATATACTGCACATCTTTCAGGTTTTATTTTGAAAAATGAAAAAAATAAATGTTTGTTCTCACCCGCTGCCTGTCCGCATGTAGTTCATTTTTACCCGTGACCGTACCTGTGAATTTATATGTACTGTATGTAGGACCCTGTTAGTGAGTGTTAAAGGTGAAGTCTTTGAGTCTGAGACAGACTGTTTATATGAACTAAACACTCAAACAAATACACTGCTCCTATCAGTGCTCCTTCAGTAGCTCTTCTAACATCTCCAATGTTATTTATGTTTCATTACAACCATGGTGTAGCTCCATTCCTCATGGGTGAAGATGTAGAAGAGATAGAGCAGCCGGCACACTGTGAAACTCAATCTGAGCCTCATAGACGGGGACACATCCCCCCCTCAATATATAAATACACTCAAAATGTCTCCCCAATATATTGAAAAAAAACAAATCAAGACAAAAAGTTGCTGTGCTATGAAAGGCAACCACGCACCACTGTCTGAATTAATCACTGATATACTAAACAAAATGCCATTATTATTACTACCGGTTCTAATATTTTGATGTACTGCAGTTCTGAGTGTGGTTTGACCAAATGATATTGCTGTGCCCCAGCAGAAGCTGTTGCCCTACTGCTGTGGGTACAATCAGTGTCAGACACTGTACTGTCTCTATTTCATTACTTTCAAATGTGTGAAAAAGCGGGAAACTAAAATGGAATAGGGGTGTTATGTAGGTTATATTGCTGATGTCTGTTATAGTATTTGTAACGTGTTTGTATTTCATAAAAATATATAGTTTATGCCCTTTTCCTGTGTGTCCCTCAGTCTGACACTGACTCAGAAGGTAGAGCAGGTCATCCATTTTTGGAAGCTCGGTGGTTCGAGCCCCTGCTCCTCCAGTCTGCATGTTGAAATATCTTTGGGCAAGATACTGAATCCCAAATGGCTCCTGATGGCTAATTCATTGGTGTGTGAGTGTTTGTGAATGGTTACTTAGCAGCAGGTGGCACCATGTATGGTAGCCTTGGCCACCAGTGTGTGAATGAGTGAATGTGACATGTAGTGTAAAAGCGCTTTGATTGGTCAGGAGACTAGAAAAGTGCTATACAAGTGCAGTCCATTTACCAGTCCCCATTCCCTGAAATGGCATTCAGTCATCAATAGCTCAGTCCATAGGGACTTGGCTTGGGAACCGGAGAGTCGCCGGTTGAAGTCCCCGCCTGGACCAAAACAGCCAATCACATGTCATCAAAACAAATGACAACAGCCACTACATATTCTACCACATTTCAGTTTAACATACATATATATATTTTTTTTTTACCATATTCCACAATGTTAAAATACAGAAGCATTAAGCAGATTACTAATAGATAAAAACAAAACAAAAGTTAAGACATCAGCTCTAAATGAACATCATGAACAACTGAGGATAAATATCCAGTAAATAGCAGTACATTACAGAAAACATTTTACATTATAGTCTTCATTTTTTTCCTTTTTTTAAGATTATCATAACTCCAATGCCTAAGAATTTATTTATTTATTTATTTTTATTTATTTACTTATCTCTCTCTCCAACATACACGCCATACCCCACCCTGTGTAATTCACTAAACATGTAAAGACTGACGTACGCAGGGACTCAAAAGCAGATTCGTGCACAGTGGAATACACAAACTTGTCCTTTAATCTTGCCAAAGTCGGTACACGGGAGGTCAAACAGCGGAGGCAAAGGTACAGAGACAGCAGGCAAAAAGCAGGGTCAAAAAAGGGTAGCAACTGGTCAAAAAACACTGAAGACTCACAAGGAAAAAACGCTGTCACAAAGGAACAAGATGAACTGGCACAGAGGGGAGAAAACAAGCAGACTAAATACTCTACAGGGAGGGAAGACAATGAGACACAGGTGCAACACATTAGGGGAGGGGCAGGTAATCACACAGGTGGGAAAACACAAGGGCAGGAAGTGAAGGACCTGAAATGAGACAACAGGTGAGTTTCAACATAAAACAATAAACAAAGATAAATGTGAGAAACAAAAAGTAACTTAACTAACAAGGCGAGGTGTGACAAAACATGGACATCTACCGCTCATTAAAATATTGAAACATGCCCCATGCTTACGACAACCTAATTTCTACTTGGACTCTTACTGTATGAATACACACACCTTCATATCTGTTTTTTGTTGTTTGTGTCTATCGTTTGTATGTCTGCTCACTTTATGTCTACTTGTTATGTCCTATATTACTGTTTTTTGTTCTGTTGTTTTGTTTTGTTCTTGTCACCCTGCTTCACCAATAAAAGGGGGGAAAAAATTAAATTTTTTGAACGTACTCAAGGCAAATTCCAGACTGAAATATTACCGAGGGGAGGACTTTCGCAGGCACGTAGGATATCAAGGGGACTCCCATAAGAATGGATAGACTTCCATTTGAATCATCTCCGTACACATACGTCATTGGAAACAAGGCATCGGGATCTTGTCACAGTATCTCTGTACATTCAAACTGCCATCAGTGAAATGCACCTTTGTTCTTTGTCTGTAGCTTATGCCAGCCCATACCGTAACCCTATCACCACCATAGGGCACTCTCAATGTTGGTATTAGCAAACCACTAGCTCACCCAACTCCATACAAGCTGTCTGCCTTTGCCTAGTGTAAACTAAAGCCCACTAAAGTCGGTTACGCTGCTACCAGGTCAAGAAATCGGTGAGGACAACGAGTGTGCAGATGAACTTTACTGAGACTGTTTCTGATGGTTAGTGTAGAATTTTTTTGGTTCTGCAAACTGACTGTAAGATCAGCTGTCCAGGTGGCTGGTCTCAAATGATCTAGCAGGTGAAGACGCCGGATGTGGACGTCCTGAGCTGGTGTAGTTACACATGGTCTGTGGTTGTGAATTATGGGGTACCGTTTGTAAAGTGTCTCACACTGAAAATAACATCAACATTTTGCCACATTTAGCTTCAAACAATGTTTAAAAAAGTATTGTGAATTTATTAACGTCACCTTTTACCACATTTACAGCAATATTTATTAACTTAGAAATATAATAAATAGTTAAATCTAAATATTAAATGTGGCACCTAAATGTTAAATGTTAAATTGAAATATTAAATCTAAATCTAAATATTAAATCTAAATGCTAAAAATAAATCTAAATGCNGGGGGGGGGGGGGAATAAAAAAAATTATAGTCTATATTCAATCTGTGGGGTGACAGGGTTCTCAGACAGTGGATCCAGCAATGTTCTCTCCTGGAAAGTAACACATCAGAATTCCCTCCTCTTGGGGGGAGGGTTACCTTTTCAATCCCAACATATTTTAGAGAGGAAATAGGATGATTCAATTCAACCAAAAAAAAATTTTTTTTTACATCCAATAGTACTTCTGTATTCAGTGGTATGTGTGTGTGTGTGTGTTCCGACCTGTGTGTAATTGACAACAGAGTGAAAAATTGAATTTCCCCTCGGGGATTAATAAAGTATATAAAATTAAAATTAAAATTAGGTGTGGCCTATGTAACAGATTAGTGTACCTGTGTCTCAGTGTGATTGTTGATCTTGAAGGCAAAACAGCTGAAATGTCATTATCAAAATAAAAGAAATGCATATTGAGACAGAGTATGTGACACTTGTTTTCTATGAGCAAGTGTACTGCCAGTGATCAGCACCTAGTTATAATTCTTGGTGTGTGTTACTTTTATATGTTAAATAGGAGATTACCATCCTGCTTCCTCTCATGCATGTGAAATGCAGGGCCCTTTTGCTTCTTTCTTGTCTCACCTTGTGGCAGCTGGACAATAATTGGACAATTTTTAGTACAGAGATTTGAAAATCTTTAGTAAGTACATCAAACTAAAACTGTAAATGTGGGCTGAACACAAATATGAATATGTCTCCCCTTCTGTTCCTCAGATATGACGTTGAGTAATGGCCAGAAAAGTTTTGATGTTGTTGTGAAATAGACCTTTAAAATGTCATCATTTTATCATTTTATCCTCTTAGACATATGTGTTTAGTTTTATCATAATTAGCATGAGAATCCTTGATTTATGGCCAAAAACATGTTTTGTGTGGTCACACTGACCTTGACCTTTGACCTTTGAACACAGTATTCTAATGACTTTATTCCTTTGTCCAACCTGACGATTGTGCCAAATTTGAAGAAATTCCCTCAAGACATTCATGTTCACGAGAAGGGGATGAACCTAAGTAGGGATATACATATGTACAGACGGACAAACGAGCTGAAAACATAATGGCTCGAGGCATAATAAAAAGCTTTTGAGCAGTGGAGGCTGAGCACCAGGCTGGTGATGAGTTCGTTGGTGTGGTCACTAAGACACAACCCAAAACTCCTGCATGTCAGATGGATCAGCTCCTCTTCTTCACTTCTTGTCTGTACCTGACACACACACAGTACACACAGTCATCAGTGCATCTCCACACCAGGCAGCGCTAGTTTCACACTGACTGTGAAATGTGCTTTGCTCAAAGCCAAAATGGTGAAAACAGAAATTATATTATTGTGTTACACTTCACACATTTCACACACTAAATTGCAATAAGGCATCACAGGAGTTTCAGGTTGGATTCTTTTCTGAAATACATTGTGTGTCTATACATGCTGCTGAGAACAACAAAACAACCACAATTCTGAGTGGAGAAGCCTACAAAAGGCTTAAATTACTCTTAATCTGTGGAGAAACATTACAATGTACTCTTTTTTTATCTGGTAAGAAACAAGTGTCCACAAATATCTGATACACAAATATAATATGAGCTCATTTGAAAACAACCTTGGAACCTTGGAAGTTTACATTAAAAAATATTAACTCCACTTGCTTGTTCTGGAGCTTTCCACCATGTCACACTGTTTTCATCAGAAGAAGTTTATTCAGTTGTTGTGGACCTGGAGATATTCAACCTGTTCAGTGTCCTGATGTTACAGATCATTCTTGTCTTAAGGCCCGAACATACCCGGGTGGAACGTATGCGAAGCAGACGTCCGCAAGCCCTGTGCGCGCAAAGCTCAGATTTCCGCGCACCAGTGACTGCTCGGCATGTATTTTTCACATTGCAGGGATTTTTCACAGACATTTTTACAGGAAACTACAACGCGGAAGTGCGCTCGACTATGAAAGCCCGAATGACTGCGGACATTCCTCACGGAGTCCACTTCGCTTATAGTACGCCCGAGTATGTTCGGGCCTTTAGATACAGTAGTTAACAAAACAATTCCATCTGCTGATGAACATTATGTGATTCTGTTGAAAGCGCTGCACAAGAACAAGCAAGCAAGTGGACCATCAGTTGAGACTTTTTTTTTTTCTGTTGAGGTATGTGGAGGTGAATGCGGTTGGGTTGATGTACCCTGAAGACTGCAGCCATGAACAATGGTACCATTGTAATCAATGGCAAATGAATGTTGTCTGCCTGTCAGTGCCAATGATACAAGTACTGCCATTAATGTCATTAGACCTGATGCTGTCAGCTACAGGATGCATCCTGTAATGGGTGTTTCAAAAAGAAGGAGGCAGTGTCCTCACTCTGTTGCTGAAATACACTTTTTGGTCCTCACAATGTATCATGTACAAGTACATACACACACACACACACACACACACACACACACACACTGTGATAAAAGTTAGAGCAGCACAAACAGAGCAAGCCATTAACATCAATTTCTAACAAAGGTTTATTATAGTCATCATTACACATGCTCATCATCTGACATACTGTAGACAAACAGTTCACAGTTCAAACGTTTAAAGTTAGTATAAAACTGAGTCGAATCAGCTGTTAAAAAAGAAAAAAGTTCTTAGATCACATGCTTTCTGGTAGAATTATGGAACAGTAAGATAATTTTAATCTGTAAATAATTCTGCCTTGCCTTTTCCACTATGTGTCACTGATAAATGTTTTTACAAATGTTTTGACTAAATATTACTGGTAAACACTGTGTTGATCCATCATTTTAATTTTGAGAAACCAAATGAATGCTGCATCATACCTAAGACTACATTAAATGAAGATCTCCTATTTTACACCAATTTGATTTGATACTGGGCTAACATCTAGCAGCATTAGTCTATCAAAATTATTGAAAGTGCTTTCATTTCCCAGTTTACCACAAGGTATTTTCTGAAATTTTAGAGACCACTGTAATACAGAACGCAGCACAGTTTGTTGAGCTCAAAATAGAAATGCCATACAGTTTTAGCTGAACTATAGGTCTACTCTGAGTTATTATAGCTGCTCATCATTTTCTGCTGTTTCATCTATGTCACCACCTCACCTTGTTTGAACCAGCAGAGGGAGCCACAGGAGAGCAGATAGAGCTCCAACCCTGTGCATGTTTAGTAGCAGTAAGTTTAGTAAGTTGAAACCATTTTAGAAAGTTGCAGAGGAAAGTTGCGGCAGTGTGAACTGGCCGGTCTGAGCTCGACTCATGTCGGCTGATGGTGTCACCAGCGCCCACATCATCCCGTTCATAAAACTGGATGATGTAATATAAAAACATTGATCAGTGGAGCTTTCAGCATGGGTAAAGCCAAATGTATGCCTGATCCAAGTGGTCAACATGAGTCCCCCTACAGATACATATGGGAAGGCTTTAATATTGAGTTGAGCATTGGATTTCACCTGGATGTGTAGTACGTCATTGAGTCATGTCCTGCTTTCCTTAGATATCCCACAGTAACTGTTTCACTTGAGACACAGAACAACGGTGGGCTACTAGGGTTGGGCGATATGTTAAAAATTTCCAATCGGCCACCGTCAGCCCATCAACCGGCGGTTGCCGATATATTTGGCAGTTGTGTGTGTGGCGGAGAAAAAAGAGAGGGGGGATGTTGCATTCATGTGATGTCGAAAAGAATCGAAAAATGACTTTCAGAATGGGATAATTCACATTAACGCCACCTCATGTCAGAAAAACAGCTCGGCAACTTGGATCTCCCGACACCACATGAATGCAGCAAAAAAATGCAGCGTGCTTTGCGAGCCCACTCATGTCCAACATGGCACGGAAATATCTGTGCATACCGGCAGCAAGCACGCCATCAGAGAGGGTGTTTAACAGGGCTGGTAACATTGTTAACCATATGCGCATATGAATTCACGTTATGGCCGGGTTCCACCGGCTGCAAACGTAAGCATCACGTCAAGTGTCTTGTTTACCGTTTGCTGAGCCATGATAGTTAAAGCATTTTCCACCTAAGTTATTACATATATTTGAGTAATCTACAAGTTTACTGTACTATTTGTCATCTACTCGCTTTCAAATGTCCGCCACGGACATTTACACAATGTCACGGATAAACATGGGTAAATGCATGAAAATGAAAATCATCACATATCACCTCTGATAATGGTTTATTCATTTTAAAACACATTGTGCTCGTTTAGCACACTATTTCATGTAGTTTTTATCTGCTGCAGGGTCGCGTAGGGGAACGTAGCGCGACAAAAATAGAAGAGCATCCTAAAATAGAGAGTTGTCGCGCGGCAGATGGGGGTTGTTGCGCCGCTCCCGTTGCCGGTGCAGCCGCTGTAATTGATTAACGGGGGGTGAGCTGCTACGGGACTCGCGCTGCAGACGTGTCGCGCCGCTCCCGTTGCCGGTGGACCTCGGCCGTAACTTTCAGCTCCGCAATCACTGACGTGTTTTGTGAAAGACTCGTTGGAAATCAGTGTGAAGCTGCCAGTTCCAATACGCACACACTGTGAATTGTGCTCTACATAGTGGTTATGGAATATATGTACCGAGTTTAATTCTGTGGAGACAGACCATTAATTTAGCAAAATAAAATGACAAAAATCGCCCATAAAATCGCCAAAAATGAAACCAACCATGATGGACTCAGCCGATGGGCGATTGGCGATATATTCGTCCAATCGCCCAAGCTTATGGGCTACTTACATACTTTTATAACTGGAGATACATCCAGGTCACCTCTATTTTGCCTTGCCACATTACTGAATATGCCACGCAATTGCCACGTTCATTTTCTTCCATTTATTGTGATAGACATCAGTGATAAGGCTCTTTCCTAGATGTGTTTAACTAAAAAGGAGCAACCTCACTAACATTGTCGTCACTAATAACAATCTCCACTGGGACTAGAAACTGGGCTGCTTGTGTTTCTAAGAAGAAATACAAGCAGCCAATCACAGTTCTTGTGGTCCCAATGTGTGGTTACATGTTTAAAGAGGCGCACAGCATCCAATGCATAGCTTAAGCCGTAGTTTCTTAACACATGAGTCAAGCTCAAGATTTAACAACCTGTTCCTAGTTCTCGTAGCTTAACCCTGTTTCCACCAAGCAGTCCAGTATGGTTGAGTTCAGTATACTTTTTTCTGTTTCCACTGTGAAAAATTGTGGATGATACCAACAGAACTATTCCTTACCATCCCTATTTTTAGTCACCCCTCTGTTGGGGTACCTAGCACACAGATCTGGTACTAAAAGGTGGAGCTAGAAACACTGCAGTCTGTTGATTGGTCAATAGAGGACGGTCACTCTGCTCAGGGCTGAGTTGTGGCTGGTTTTGAGACTTGCGTAATCACTGTTCATGGCAAGTCTGACATATATTAGTAAACAATGACTATAAAATAAAGGATGTTTTTCTAATCTCGCAGCAGCTGTAGACTGAGGACTGCCAGCAACTTTTAAAGTGGAATGTTTACCTATTATGTCATTCAATGCATGAGTTGATGACTGCCATCCATCACCTTAAATTTCAATGACAAATTAGACCATTCCATTAGTCTTTATTGTCTCTCTTGGATGACATACACTTTTAGTAATGAGTGAATCTTCAAGTGTTGAAAAATATAAATTAATTTTGACCGGATTATGTGAACTGCATGTATTCTAATCCTCATTGGAGGAAAAAAAAAGTGTTACAGAGCATGGTTCCTGTGGGCTTTGGCAACACTAAAACCCTATGTTTGCCTGAGAAGGATTAAATGCACAAACCCAGAGAGTGAGAGAGAGCGAGAGAGAGAGAGAGAGAGAGAGAGAGAGAGAGAGAAAGACTCTCACTGCAGCCTGTTCTATTTTGTTCTGAAAATGGTGGCATGCGACCCTGTCCTGTGGACAATAAATGAGGTGCAGACTTCCCTGTGTCACTGGTGATGAGGAAATACAGCGAGCGCTGGACGGAGCAGTGAGTGACAACAACACTGCCCACATTTAAGAGTACTGTTTGCGGTGTAAAGGCTTAACAGACATAAGGTCTGGGTACCATGTCTGAAGGATTACTTTTGGTTCTAAAGACACTATACCGAAAGTGTTTGGTAAAAATGGGGCTTTATTGTACTGTACATTACTCTTGATGTTGCACCTAAATCTTGCACTGCTCTAGTTTAGGTTTTATTCACGTATCAACTTTAAATCATCCATTGTTCAACAATTTATTCCTCTCTTTCTACACACTTGCCCGGTCAGTTGAACATTAACTGTGTTTTTTGTATTGTTGTGTTTTATGTGTTTGTCATAAAGCACTTTAAAATGCTGGTCTTGAAAAGTGCTATGCAAATAAACTTTATTATTAATTCTGTTAACAATACGTGTGCTACAGCAGCTCAGTTGGTTGCAGTTAGTCATGAGGTTAGCGGACTGATACAGCTGGTTACTGAGTTCGACACTCGGGCATGCATTAGTTAGTCCCGTTAGCAGACAGTGCAGCAGGGTTTGTGTTTTTTCTGGATCTTTCTGATACCTGGTCCCACCCGTCTGTCCATACGTCTGTCTCCAACTCCCTCCACACGTCCCATGTTTCCATTGGCTGACCTTCCTGTCTGATAACTGTTTCCTACAAGCTGGATGTGGCGCTGCTTCCCCTTCATTCTGTTGTCGTCAATGTTGTCTTCATTGTCCTCAATGATGACAAGCTCCGCCTTCAGGGAGCCCTCAAACTCCTGACTGTGCCCACTGTCATCCTGCGCTGTCTGGAAGCCCATGAAGATGGCCGTGATTGGCTCAGTGGTCTCCATGGCATTGAGGATGGTGTAAGGGGTATCGTCTCCGTAGAAGGGGGAGGGTACTCTGTCAGAGTGGGTGGGGCCACTGTATAGAGCAGTGGGTGGTTTCCCATGGTTGCTGTGATAGGAGAGTGGGCTGTAGCAATAAAGTTCTTCTTCATCCACGCTGACATAATCACTAAGAGGAATATAATTGGCTGGAGTGTAACAGAGCTGTGATTGGTAGGGAGACACTGCTTCCTGGTCATGTGATCTAGGAGGAGGGCAGTCATTGGCTCTGCCTCCATTTAGCAGACTGTTGCTTCTGATGATGCTGCTGGTGTGGTGGCTAGCAGGCTGGTCTTCCTGAACACTGTGACAGTTTCTCACCTGGTCCAAACTATGACCATCTTTCTGGTTGCCATAGTGATGTCCCAGCCCCTTGTGGCTTCCAAGCTGATGACCTTCGCTCAGGTTGCTTTTGTTATTATTTCTCCCTTTCTGCCACCTGTAATGGCTTTCCTGGTGACCATAGCCATGGTTTGCCTCTGGTTTTCTCTGCCAGTTTTCCCTGCGAGTGCAATCTTTCTCTGCAATGTTGTTTCTGATGAGATGGTTACCATAATAACCTTGCTGCTTTCTGAGGTCAAACCCCTCCGCTCTGTCTCTCTCATCGCAGTGGTTGTAAAAACAATGCTCCTCTGTTCCAATGTGATTTTGATGGTAGTTTGCTTGGTTTACTTGGCGATGCATTGTGGCGCTTCTCAGCAGCTGTTCCACCTCGTTGGCTGACAGCTCAGACACACAGCTCTGATCATGTGACTCCTATGAGCAGAAAGGAACATGGGTCATTATTAGGGGTGTAACAATATACATATTCATATTGAACCATAAAGAGGCTTTCAGTTTGGAACGATTACAAACTGTACGATATGCTGAATTATCCTATTATATTTGGAAAATAAAACCTACAGCTTAAACTGTGTTTAATATAGTATTCTCAGTGCCACTGTGCTCAACAAGGCAGCCCACAGGACAGAACAGGCAACATGCTGTCTGCCCTCAAACCCAAAATCAGAGCATTCTACTCCACTGAGATACATTGGGAGGCAGCTATGTTAAGCTAGCTCGTTGCAAGAGGGCCAGTACCGCCATTACCAGACGAGAAACAGAAGATCCTCCAATAGGGTTGGGTACCGTTCATAATTGAACCGATACGGTACCGGTACTGGTATCTGGAATTCGGTACCGGTACCAAATGGTACCTTATTTCGGTACTTTTTAACCCTAGAGGCCCTAGGCCTTTTTGGGGTATTTTTACTGATTTTACTTTTAAGCTCATATCACAGTCATTATAAAGGCTACATACACGCTATATCTTGTTTTTTTCAGGACAATCTGGGCTAACCAGATTTGCCATCATTTCATGTTCTTCTATGTGCCTGTATTTTATATAAATTTTTATATCAATGAAAAAAACAAATCTGTGTGCCTAAATTCTTACATTTTTACATGTATCTCAGCATAGCAAGTTGGAAAAAGACATATTCTACCATATATGAAGAGGGGAGACCATGATGCTGGGACATTCTGTCACTTTAAAGTTGTCCAAAACATGTGGTTTGTGCCAGGTGGACATGTTTGCCAGTATTTTTTCATTATTGCAAGAAATTCCATTGACTCATTCACAAGTCAAAAATGTGTTTTATCTGAAAGAAACATGCAATATTTACATCTAAGATAATAGAAAAATAGTCAACCAAATGCAATGATGTCCTCCAAGATAATATTTGTTTTTCAGTTTCAGTTATATATTGGGGAGACATTTTGAGCATTGGTGGGGGGGGCACGCGTCCCCCTCAATGTATATGGTGATTACGGCCCTGTCAGCATGCATTAGGCTGCAGTTGTCTGGGTGCGCAAAGGTGAAGTGGCTGGTCTTGTCATACAAAGTTTGATGGAGTGTCAACTGGACAATATGGAGATATTTGCATCTTGAAAGCCGGACTACAAATGTGGATAGACAGGGAGAAACACACGCAAGCCTAAAACGTGGTAAGATACAATATTCCTCACTATATGAAGTGACTGATAACAAGATCTGTATATTGGATTGTAAAGAAATTCGTCAAGTTTTTATTTTGTAGACAACTGATCTGTATTTAGAGCGTGATGGGATGACAGCACAATGATGTGTGTGGTCCTGCGCTTTCATGTGATATGCGTGGCATTTCTGTGCGAGCCTGAATTAACAAGTAATCCATCCAAAAGTAATGTATGTACAAAGCTGTATGAAAGCTCTGTTATACATCATTTTATTGTAATTTTTCGCTGTGAAAACATTGGATTACCGACAAGTGCAAGTGCTTGTCAGAAAGCTACAATTCTGCTGTTTCCGCTGAACTTGGACGCACTATGCATCGTTCGGGCCCATAGTCTAAACTTCTCAGTTTCAACATTTTATTGAGAACATTTAGGAACAGTGCTGCACGTTAAATTTTGTCTGCACATTGTTTTTGTTGCCATTGTTGCTGAGTCTGAGATGTGAGTCATGCGCTCTCACTCCGCCTCCACCTCAGGTACCGAAATTTGGCATCGTTTCATTTTAAGTGAATCGGTACTCGGTAGTACTGACGTGAATCGGTACCAAGTACAAAAAGTACCAGGTTTCGGTACTCAACCCTATCCTCCAATAACCTGCAGCTCTGGTGTTTGGTGAGAGAGAGCGGTGTATAAAAACACACTGAACCAAAGACAGACAGCAACCTTACAGCTACAGACTCTCCTTAGCAGCTAACCCAGTAGCACAGTAACATACACTACCCCCAAGCCAGAGCACGAGCTGCTGCTGAAATGCTCACACATCATACTGAAATGCTCTAATATAATATACTGAAATGCTCTCACACATCATACTGGAATGCTCTCACTTATAGTGAAATGTCTATGTCTATGCTCTGATGTCAGTAGTAACCAGGTTTTCTAAAGTGGCACACAGAGATGGCGATAAACTGTTTAACTCCATGGTATAGTACTACACAGTTCCCAGTCTTTTGACATGTTTTCAACAAGCATTTTTTAACTTGTATAATGTGTTCAGAAAGAAAATACAGATTTTGCTTTACCCAGACTTTAATGAGCCCATTTCAACCAGACTGTAATTCCTGTTTTGTACAAAAAACACAAAAGCCCAAATTATGTTAATTTTCATACATTTAAATCTTTAAAAATCAAGGAAATTTCTCTGGCATTTCTGGCAGCATTTCTGTGACACCACTGTATTGTATTAAACTAAACCGTGAATTTTGTGACACTGGTCATGACCTAGTCATTATTAGGAGAACACAGTAGCCCCTTTTACACTGCCAGATTTTCCGCAAATATTGGGCCGTTTTGCCGGCAAGCTGCAAGCGTTTAGACACACAGAGCCGGACTGGCGAGTTGATCCGTGATGCCCAATTTTCCGCCTCGTAGGGTAGTCATATTGGCGGAACTCTTTTAGTTTAAACAGACCGAGGCGGCCTTCTGCAACGGCAGGGGCTGTTGAAGACTTGTGGGAGGAGCTGTTGATGACGCTGCACGTGCGAGCCACTGGCGGTGGCAGGAATTAGCGAGCAGCTAGTAGCAAGAGGGAAACACAAACCTGACAGATACTGTAAAGATGAGCAACTGGGGAGACAAGGAATTGCGTGCCTTCCTTGTCCTCGCAAACGAAGAGGCCATTAAGTCAGATGACAGGAACGGTGAACTACAAGAGAATCGCCGAAGGCCTGACTAGCCGCGGCTTCCCTCCCACGTCACACGCTGAGCTACACGTTTTGCTACTTGCTCACGCTCCCCATTGCCCCAAAAAAGGCACATTCTGTATAAATAAAAGCAGGTAGGCGGCATTTTGCCGCACTCCCCGATTTCATTTTTATACTGCCAATGCTGACAAAAGACTGATTGGGCTTTCCTGCAAATTTGCACAATTCCTATCTAAAAAGGGCTAATGACTGTAAATGTCACAAAAGAGGTCATTACTTTAAAGCACTCCATGCTCTGGCTCCAGCATACATTAGAGCCCGTATATGCACTCATTATCACATCTTGCAACAAAACTCTGCTAGCCATCCCTCAATCTACAGTAGGCTTCAAACTTAAAAGGAGATTGTGCATTTGCCATCAGGGCCCCAAAGCAGTCTTCCTGTTGACATTTAACTTGCTACCTCAGTGACAATGACATTACCTCTTGTGAATTCAAGGCATAAACACACTTCCTGCCGTCATCATAAACCTTGAGGCCGGCGTGTTGGTTTATCTCCTCAGGAGGGACTGTTGAATGAACTGTGCTCTTTCCAGTCAGATGGTTTTTAGTCACATTGATCTCCATGGCAAACAGAGCTGAAACACAGAAGACAAACAAAGTCTATGTTATTATCTGTTAATGTTGGCCTAATCTCACATCTGTATATATGACGTCATCGCTTCAGGTTGCTTCCATGATAAGCAATGACCACTGCAGCTTCAGCAGCTGCTCCCTTGTAAAAGTACTTTTTTTTTTTTTTTTTAGCATATAACAACCCCAAACCCCAAAAGTCCTCAAAGTTCACTCCTCAGTGAGATTAGAAATCATTTGGTTCTCAAGAAGGTATAACCAGCACTGCGTGTTCAGCTTGCTGATCCTATCTCCATCATCACCTGATAATAAGTGTTTACATGTGCACTACATTTCCTGGTTAGGTCCACATGTTTGGAGTATCCTGGTTTTGTGTTTGCACATGTAAACACTATTCCACTTTGAGAAATCCCTAATCCTGGTTTTGTGAAAATCAAGTATGTAAACTGTAGCACTCAATGGAAACCAGGATATTATGGCAAGTAAACACCTTATTCAAGGTTCTGATTAGTGTCTGCCATGTTCACAGATCCACCTGCAACTGGTAGTTAGTGAGTAAAACTAAAAGTACAGGCTGGCTGGGGCCACTCAACCTTTCTTTAGAACTTACAACTTCAGACATTTTGTTGGGGGTCCTGGATGAAACTATCCCCAGATAATAAATACAATAATGTTATTCTGTTGGGTAAAATACATATATGTAAAGCTCAATCCAGAACACATTTGAATTGAGGTTTCCTGAAAAATACAGTTCAAAGTCAATTCTTATGGAACAAATTACTACTACAAATCATTGTAAATTAGCACAACATAACACGCAATGGAAGAAAATTTGCTCTAGTGAAGACTGAAACTATATAGAATTATAATTATGCTCTACCTGTCATATAAATGTAAGCGTTTTTGTACTAGTACCATCAACTTATTTATCAAAATTATTCATGTGATCCTGTGAAGTTTCATATGTCCTTTCTTTTATTGCCTTTATTCTCTATAAGTCAACTTTTTTGTTTGTTTTTTTCTTTGTTTGTGAGACTATATTGTTATGACATGTTGTCATATATGCTATGCGTATTATTATTTGCCTGTAATTCATTTAGAATGAAAAAATAAAAACAGAGTGATCAGATGGAAAAACTGAACTTCTGTGGAGGTAACAGGGTACAAAAACAACAGTTTGGCAAGACGCAAAGATAAATGGATACTGTTGGAATCATGTACAGGGTATACAAGGTACCATGTACAGGACTGGTATTCAAGCCTGGTTATGCTCAAACCAGGGCTATCTGGAAAACTACCAGCTGAGCTATGGAGTCATTCAATAAAGCCAGGAAAAATGGGCACACCAAAGCACACACACATGTGAGTTTAACTAAAAATAATGCAGAGGCAGATCAGTTCCTCAAATGTTGACACCTGCCTGGTCCCTCTTGAAGGGGATTTATGGTTGTGAGTAGACCCTACGCACGTTGCCTATGCCGTTGTGAGCATTTTTACTTCTGCGGTGGTGTGTCTGTGTCACTCTGCAGTTACACCTCCAAAACAAACAAAAGGACGCAAAGGAGGCGATAGACGCGAACTTCGCGGCTGTGAATTGTTTTTTGCTAGTCACAAGTTATTAGCTTTAGCATGTTTACATTGTATAAATTAGCCTAGTCACTAGCAGATTTTTTTTCCTCTACTCATACCTTAACAAATTTACATGTAACGTTATTGTTTTTCTTTCTCACTGTTGGTTTAAGTCTCTGCATCACCTGACAGAACAGTTCGTTTGAATTTCAGCCTGCATGCACATTTTTTCAGCTGAACGTTGTTGAAACAGAGCAGCTGATGTAGCTGCAAGAAGTAAATGGAGTGAGATGGCAGGCAGGTAACGTTATATTGTGTTTTATCTTGCAACAGCATCATTTACATACAGCATGTGCTTTGTCTGTTAACCTATATTTTCTCTGAAATCCAAAATATTTCCACACTGCTGATTTAATTCCTGATTAAATAACTAGTAATATTATTAATAATAATGGCGATAATAATACTAATACTAATACTAGAAATAATAACAAGTTAGAAAATTATGCTCATCATCTTTCACTTGGCTGCTTGCTGACTGCTGAACTGCAAAATACAATGTGCTTTGACTGACATTACAGGACTGTGTAAAATGATCTCACTTTTTCTCTGTGTGCTTGGTTCAGGGTGTTTGTTGGCTGTTGGAGAGAGGAATTCTGGGACATGACAGGTCACTGTGGTGACCTGTAATGGCTCTGTGGGGCAGAAAACAGAACTGTTACCACAGATTCAACTTTGAAGTTAGTTAAAACATTGAAATGATGTCATGACTTACCAGGAAAAAAGCTGTCCTGAGCCTCCTGGAGGACAAACGCAAATCAGTAAATGCAACGTAGTGGAGGCACTAAAATAAAGCTGTGTGTGTGTGTGTGTGTGTGTGTGTTTGTGCGTGCGCGCGCACACCTTGATAATGTCCCCTGGACTTTTCTCCACAGCCTTCAGTCTGTTGAGGATGAAACTCTCATTGGTAGAAATCATAGACTCCTCTCTCTCCAGACACTCCACCTCCTTCTCTATCCTGATGTTTCAGAGGAGACAATGCAACAACAGCTCATATTGATATGCAGTGGTGGAAAGTAACTAAGTACATTTACTTAAGGACTGTACATACGTAAAGTTTTGATGTTGTACTTGACTTTAGTATGTCCATTTTATGCTACTTGATACTTCTGCTCCTTTACATTTTGGGGGGAAATAATGTACTTTTTACTCCGCTACATTTATATGACAGCTATAGTTACTAGTTGCTTTGCAAATTTATATTGTTAATACAAAATATTATTCAACTAATAAATTATGATATATTATAATAGGTTAAGGTACCCAGAAGTGGGTAAACTAATTAAACTCCACCAACATTACCAACATTAAAGTAATGAACACATTAATGCATCAATAATTATAATCCAGTAATAAAATACATATGAAAGTGAAATATGCATTTCTACATTGAGAGCACATCAGTTTTGGCACTTTGAACTGCTAATACTTTTCTACATTTACTGAAGTTAGGTTTTGAATGCAGGAATTTTAAAACAGAGTATTTCTACACAGTGGTATTGCTATGTTTACTTAAGTAAAAGGTGTGGGTACTTCTTCCACCTCTGTTGGTACGTGGGTGTCTATAATGTGTGTTTGTGTTTAGTACCTGTGGATGTTGAGCTGCAGTGCTCGGGTGTGCTGCAGGTCAGACAAAATGCTCTGCTGCTGTGGGGAGTCTGTTGCATTGTGGGAAGCAGAGTCTTGTAGGAGCCACTGCTCTCTCAGTGCTTTTTTCTGATTATTTTAAAGGACACAACACAGGGGTCTATCATGTGGATTAAGATCTCTTTAAATGGAGTTCAGGTTTACACCAACAGCTGTCATTTTCTCAGATCATATTCTGATTTCACTGAATGAGTGCATATGACAGCAGCTGGTCAGTGTAATCAAACAGTAAATGATAACCACAGTGCCTGTCATGTCACAGGAAGAAGAATTATGCACATTTGTGGACAAACAGATGGACAGAGTGATTATTCATGCTAATAAGAGATAATACCCATCTATGAAAACGATTTAGCACACACCTCATCTGGTGTTAGTGCTGACCCTTTATAGAATTGAAACAATGTTTGAGCGTAGATGAGTGAAGTGAACCTTTAGGTGCTTAAGTGTCAGTTTTTCTTGGTCCAGTTCGAGTTTCTTCTGTCTAATGTGTTCCTGAATGCGATGCTTCTCCTGGTACATTAAAGACAAAAATGTGAGTGAATTTACAGAGCAGTGACAAAACATTGCAACAAATGAAAGGTTACAGATAAGGCCATCAGAGAGATGCAGATAGGCATAATATAAGTTGTATTTTTAAAGGGATAGTTCAGAAATTTGAAAGTGGGGTTGTATGGGGTACTCATGGACAGTGTATTACATACATAGTCAGCATGCCCCCATATGGAGAAGCAGGCTGGAGTCTGACACAGTAGCCAAACAATCTATTACTGTGGAAAGGGTCAACAACAAAATGCATTTTAGCCACCTAAAAAAAGTCCCACCTAAAAAAGTTAATATTGATTTAAGTGTATGCTATATTGAGATTATTTTCACTGCTTTAGCTTAATGCTGGACAGTGATTTCCAAGGGAAAATTAAGCCGTTATATCAAAGCCAGACTCATTTGAATAAAACAATGATTTCACATCGCTGAACACAAGAGCTGCTAGTCTACCGCTGCTAGTCTACTGTTGCCTCAGTTGCATCGATCATTTTCTTTGTGTTATTGTGTGACTTTGATCTTTAAAAGGGTTCATTCAGATTCACCAAAGGCACACAATAACACAAACAAACTAACCCACCAAAGTAACGGTAGACCAGCAACTCCTGCATTCAGCAAGCTAAAACTATTGTTTTTCTCAATGGAGTTTGGTAGCTTTGATGAGAGCATAGATGGAGAACTCAAGCCATTAATAGCTTCCCCATTGGAACAGTCTGTTGGACGGAAAGGTAAAGCAGAGAAAATACTCTCAATATAATGTACACTTAAACTGATATTGATCTTTTTTATGCCAGACTTTTTTTAGGGGGCTAAAATAAATTTGTTGCTGACCCACATCCACAGCAGTACTTTGCTTAGCTTCTGATTCAGACTCCAGTCTGCTTCTCCAAACTAGGGGCGTGACAACTGATATCTAAGAAAAGCTCTAGCGATAGTTCAGTCAGGAAGACAATACTTTTCCTGCTCAGGCAGTAGATTTTGTTCCTCACCCTGCCACTCACTCCTTGCACATATGCTAACTCACTATCTCTAACTGTCATTGTTCAGGGCTGTCAATTGAGTCATCAGCTGTTGTACAGCTGATTCACAATCAATGAATATCACAGCGACACACCCTTCCTGTCAGTCTATCATCTTACTAACCTGGAAATCCAGATGCCCCGCCTCTAGCAAATTCTAATTTGCACTGCACAGGAATCTGGCTCCGACGAGCAGAGCCCGCTGAATCGCCAATCGGACCAATCCGATCAGTCTGACAGAGGCGCACTCTGGGTGGGTGTAACGTGATGAGGACAGCGCTGCGCCTTAGGAGTCGAAAAGTAAACAGCCAAGATAGCAGCCGCCGAAGGATCACGCCCATTCAATTTGGCTTTGGAAGAAACGCTAAGCCAACTACACTTATCTTTTTCCTTGAGAGAGGAACAGAAGACTGCCCTAGAAGACTTCGATTCCAGGAAGAACATTTTTGAAATTTTGCAGACGGGATACAGCAAAAGCATAATATATCAGTTAGCCCCACTGTTCGGCAAACAAATGGGGCTTAGTACAATGAATAAGAAACCTTGTTTTTTGCTCTGATTGGCCATCGTGCTGTCCAATTGCGTGCGGCGGCATTTGAAATGCCTCAGTTAGTGCCGCCCCTTGGGTAGAAAGCGTGTATCGGTGAGGGCCAGACTCAAAATCTTTTGATCTTTTGATTTGAGTCTGGATTTCCAGGCTATCATCTTACTGCTTCTCATTTTAAATATGGTTCTTTCTCTGCCATAGTTCTATCTTGCTGCAGTCATGTGCACCCTCCATCTCCCATTACCACATGGTCTTCACAGATTCATCATCCTCATCTTTCTCATCTCCCACTGGCCTCAGAGTCATCAGCCACCACCACCAGTGTCTGGACTCCATGGGGGAAATTTATCTTGCTGCTGTCCAGATGTCCCTCGATCACAAAATCCCCTTGGTGTCTCAGTCAGCACAAATCATCTGTTACTCTGTATATTCATATTCCGTATTAAATATTACCTTAATTATTACCTCCTGATTGAACTGTAGGTAACACATTGACTATGGATAAGTACCCCATACAGCTCCACTTTAATACATAGCTTTTTTTAACTGTAGCAGATATTAGAGTTATGGCTACAACACTCCAACATCACTGTTTCACTCAAGCAGATATTGAGCAGAGTAGAGTAAAGCATTACGGTGATGGCCTGTAGCCTTTCCTTCATCAGGTCAGACTCCTCCATACTGCTGCAGGAGAGAGAAAATCGGAGCAAAGAGAGAATGGACAAGAAAAACAGGGAAATTTGTTAAACACCTTTTTCTACAGTTACACGTCACAATAAAAGCATACTGCAATAAACCACAATATAAATCAATCAAAGCTCAGCCAGACTGCCATGACAATAATGACAATTATGACAACTTTTACAGCACAAAGCAGTGCAGATGGATTTGAGTCTTACTGTACTATACTGTATCTCACTGTTTTATTCTGAATTAAATTTACTGTTATTCATTATTATTGAGTAAAACAAACATTGTAAGAACAACAACAAAAGAATGTTTCTCAGGATTTCACTATTATTTACCCACGACAAGAAAATAGCTAAAAGGAGCTGCATATAGTTACACAATAGACAATATTCTGTACACTTGAATTTGCATAATGATGGACCTAAAACTTACATCCATCTAACATCATCCATCTTATTGTCAACCATCTAAGATAAAAATTTGAAAGAAGCAATGAGGATTCCAGCATCCCCTGCTGGTCTAAATGCTGCTTCACACCTTTTTCCACCCTGACAAGATTATCATTTTAAGAAAATTGATTTGTCACCATAAAACTGCTAAGTTTTAAAACTCTGCACACTTCTGCTCACTAGATTGGCACTTTAGTATACTAGTATTCAAAATGAACACTTCTTCAGCTTTTGGCGTGTCTGCTGGCCCTGCTTCTAACAGTTCAACTCCATCAACATTTAGATCATTGTTCTTCTTCTTTTTACTGCTGACTGTTGCTAACTCAGCCTTAGTTGTGTGTCCTTACTCTTGCAATGTAACTATAAATCATGGAATCGCTGTCTTTCTGTCTTTATGTAGGTACAGTGGCATGCAAAAGTTTGGGCGCCCCTGGTCAAAATTTTGTTTACTGTGAGTAGTTAGGTAAGCAGAAGATGAACTGATTTGAAGTGAAAGATGACATATTTCTTCAATATCTTAAGTAAGATTACTTTTTAATTTTACATTTTCTAATAAAATTTAATAAAAAAGGAAAGGGGCCTGATGCAAAAGTTTGGGCACCCTGCATGGTCAGTGCTTAGTAACACCCCTCTTGGCAAGTATAACAGCCTCTAAACACTTTTTGTAACCAGCTTAGAGTCTTTCAGTTCTAGTTCGGGGGGATTTTTTTACCCATTCTTCCTGCAAAAGGCTTATAGTTCTGTGAGATTCTTGGGCTGTCTTGCATGCACTGCTCTTTTGAGGTCCATCCACAGATTTTTAATGATGTTAAGGTCGTGGGACTGTGAGGGCCATGGCAAAACTTTCAGCTTCAGCCTCTTGAGGTAGTTCACTGTGACTTTCAAGGTTTGTTTAGGATCATTGTCCTGTTGTAGAAGTCATCCTCTCTTCATCTTCAGTTGTTTTACAGATGGTGTGATATTTGCTTCCAGAATTTGCTGGAATAACTGAATCCATTCTTCCTTCTACCTGTGAAATGTTCACTGTGCCACTGGCTGCAACCAAAGCATGACTGATCCACCCCCGTGTTTAACAGTTGGACAGGTGTTGTTTTTTTTTCATGAAATTCTGTATCCTTTTATTCTCCAAACATACCTTTGCTCATTGCATCCAAAAAGCATTAGGCTTGTTTAGATGTTCCTTTGCGAACTCCTGACGCTGAATTTTGTGGTGAGGACGCAGAAGAGGTTTTCTTCTGATGACTCTTCCATGAATTTCACATTTACAGTATACAGGTGTCACTGCACAGTAGAACAGTGCACCACCACTCCAGGTCTGCTAAATTTTCCTGCACTTCTTTTGCAGTCAAACAGGGGTTTAGATTTGCCTTTCTAACAATCCTACAAGCAGCTCTCTCTGAAAGTTTTCTTGGTCTTCCAGACCTCAACCTGACCTCCACAGTTCTTGTTAACTGCCATTTCTTAATTACATTACGAACTGAGGAAAGAGCTACCTGAAAACACATGCTATCGACTTATGGCCTTTTCCTGCTTTGTGAGCATCAGTTATTTTAGTTTTCAGAGTGTGAGGCAGCTGGTTTGAGGAGCCCATGGCTGCTGATGGGACAAGGTTTCAGGCGTGTTTATAAAGCTTTAAAATGTGCATCACATGGCCTTTTTTAATGATAACTGTGAACAAGCCAGAGTCCAGAGTCCTAACAAGTTAATTATGGTCTGAGGCCCTGGTAAAAGTTGTCTGAGAGCTCAAATGTCTTGGGGTGCTCAAACTTTTGCAGGGTGCTTGTTTCCTTTTTTTCCACTCTAAAATTGTACAAAACAGAAATGATACACTAATCTTGCTTAAAATGTTGAAAAGAATATTCCATCTTTAACTTCATGTCTTTTGGATATAACTTCATCTTCTACTCAATTAACTATTCACAGTAAACAAAATTTTGACCAAAGGTGCCCAAACTTTTGCATGCCATTGCATGTGTGTCCTTTGCAAATATTAGGAACTGTTCATCCAATCTTTGTCACACTTGGTAGGTGTAATACTGGGGATCCAAGGACATGTAGTGTTGAACTTGGTACAGTGTTGGACAAATGACATGTTCAAATCACCAAACTTTGAATAAACAAGCCAAAAGCGCTTTGGGGCTCTGTGCAGCAGCAGGGGCGAGGCTTCAGGGCTCTGCAGGGTCCATCATGTTGTCAGCAGCGAGCTGGCCACTGCTCTTTCAGTACTTTTACATGACATTAGAGAAAATTGATTTATTATGTTAGTCTGACTAAAACTGGACTTTTAAAATACATGTAAACATGTTAATCCGACTGAAATTGTACTAAATTAAGATAATGCGATTGGGAATTGAATTACTCCTGTATGTATACAGTAGGGCTGTCAACGAATATTCTAAATTCGAATTTAAATTTGAATTTGAAATAAAATGGACCTTCGAATGTGAAAATTGATATTCGATTGTGGAGGAAAAAAAACACCACCGCAGCTGTCCTCTTTGCGAGTGGGAGGTGGGATCGGTTAACATGGTCGCCGAAAGGAAACTGGCTTCGCTTCTCGGCACTTCGAGGCTATTCGCAGCGCTTCCGCAGGCCCGCGGTCGTTTACAATGTAATGTTATAGATAATTGTTTTATGTGTTTTAATGTGTAGGTATGTAAATGTTTTCAAAGACATTTATGTTGAAATAAAAATACCTACATAGCTATGACTTGAATGTGTTTTTCAGGGGCAATTTAGCGATTTGGGGGCCCCCCAGCAAAAGCCATCTTGCTTTACCTTTCAGGCACTTTCTAACTGGAAATATTGGTTTTAACAGTGGTAGAAGAAGTATTTTTTCTGAATTAAAACTATCATTTATTAATAGTAAAATTATTAATACTGCATGGTAACACTGCATTCAAAGTTTGACTTAAAGAGTGAAAGAGGGGAATTATCAGTACAATCTGCCTAAATTTACATAACGTCTAAATAAGGTTGCACTTTCAATTCAAATATAACGCTGAATAGTTAAATGAATAACAATGTATCATATTTCAACTGTTATATTTTGTGACTAAAATCTGAATCTGGAATGTAACTAACATGTCAGGTAAATGTGGCAGTACAATGCTTTACTCTGAGGTTGAAGTAAAAGTACATAGGAGGTAAGCAATATACTGTTGAGTTGTATATTTTCTAAGTGCTCTGGGGGCCTTTTATGAGTTATTTCAGGGTACAATGAAGTGGAAAGCAGTGAGCAGCTGTACAGTGAATCACTGTGACATTGTGCTAATAACACTCACTTTCAGGGAGACAATTGGCAACAGATTTCATTTGTGGAGATATGTAAAATTGGCAGGCTTGTTGATTTCTGTTGTCATGTTCAGTTAAACATGGTATCCAAAATTTCTGTAATTTCCGCTGTGCTTATTTTATGTATCATTTTTTTCCCTGTTAAAGGTTTTTTTTGGGGGGAGTTTTTCCTTATCTGCTGTGAGGGTCCAAAGGACAGAGGGATGTTGTATGCTGTAAAGCCCTCTGAGGCAAATTGTTATTTGTGAGATTGGGCTTTATAAATAAAACTGATTGACTGATTGATTGATTGATTGATTGTGTTGGTTTGCTATCATCTTTGGTAAACCAAATCAATTAGCTCGCAAGCTAAGCAATGTACAGCTGTGGGCCACAACAAAAACACATATTAGCCACCTGAAAAAAATTAATATCAGTGTTAAGTGTACACTATATTTAAATA